AAATCTATAATTGTTGTAGGACTTGAAAATTCGTTCAGCTTATTCCTTGATAAATATAAAATTACAAAGATCGAGAACCTAGAATGTTTAATACATCTTTATGTATTAAGTTTACAAATTAATCACATTATATGGATAGAGAAGAACTAACAGAACTAAATGAATTATATATACATATGCGAAGATAGTATAATCGTCATGGAAGAATTGATAAATTGTTAAAAATTATATGCATTACATTTAGCATATAATAAAATAGTAAATATTCAAAATATCAATTGTTTAGTGGATTTAGATGACTTTTGGGTAAAAACGGACTTATTTTTCCTATGAATTGTTATATTTACATATTTCACCTTACAGTTAAATAATAATGAAATCAACGATTCGAACCATAACACATAACAGAACATAATTCTATTGCCGCGGATCTAAATTGCAGACCAAAAATAAAATTGCTACTATGGTTCACCCAATTAGGTACAACATTTTGCAGATGTTCTCATACTAATTTTAACGATTCTTTTTAACAGATGGGAAACATTAGAAGCATATTGCCAACGTTGTCGAAGATGTAATATACTTAATGTTTCTTCACTGAGAAATACATTTAATGTTTCTGCGTTTAATATTATATTAATAGAATTGTATCAGTTATTTAATGGTAACGAATAATCTCTCTTTTTAGTAGCTAAAATACAGAGTATTAATGAATTTACATCTGCCGTTAGTATGTGCTTTACTCGTTTAAAATATTCATGTTCATCCAAAAAATATACACGTTATTAAGAGTGATTTCATATAGTATCCCATATAGTTCTATTAAATAATATAAAGCCAGAAATGTAATTTTATGTTAATTGATGTACATTAAAAAGATATTGAGATCCTATACATATGTACACATGTACATATTTGTTAAATTCTTGTAGCTACAACAAATTTCTAATATAAATCATATTTATGAGTATAAATAATAATAATAATAATAATAATAATAATAATTAGTAAAGTATTAAAAAATTTTACGTACTAAGAAAACAATATATAATTCTACAGGTCATAATCAATATTATTAAAGGGAACAATATTTTGAATGAAATTTAATAAAGAATGTTTGGAAATGTATTAATTAACTCGTTATTAATTATTTAAAACAAATATTTCGATGCGACAAAGAACATTGATTATATTTTAATAAATTAAATTAATTTCCAACGTTTACGACTAAATCTGGACAGTTACTATTTGAAATTTGTCGTATGCAGAAACTGATACATTTCGATCTGTGTCTATTTCAAACCTACAACGCATATCATGTTCAACGAGTTGCTTTATTTTTATGGAATTTTATCTGATATTTATACGTCACAAGGAAAGTCTGATGTTTCGAAGAGAAACGTAATCATCGTCATTAAAACGATGCAGTCATAGTCACACAGTATACAACAGTTCAACGCACGCAACAAGAGTAAAATCGACATATGATTGGATAAGTTGAGATCAACGTGAGTGGTGATTGGTCGACATGATAATCCAGGTATAGTTAGCGAAGCACGCATGAATTGAGTATGACGTCATCGTCAGTACTCGCGATCGGCCATTTTGTGAGTGTGTGCTTCATCAGGACATTTGTGTTAAGAAGCTTTTCCAGTAAAACCGAATGATTTAGTTTACTATACGGACTTGCTTTACTTTTATTGCACGTGCTAAGGGCGCGGAGGATCCGTGGACTTTACGTAGATTCGTACGATGGAGGAAAAAGCATCGCTGAAAGAACTCGACCAGTGGATAGAACAATTAAATGACTGCCAACAACTAACAGAAAGCCAAGTGAAAACTCTGTGCGAGAAGGTACGCGATCTATTTTATATTATCTGGTTTGTTGATTCCACTGTGCTTACTTAACAGTGATATTTTTCGTTACTTCGGGAACCAATTTCGATTTGTCGTTTCACCTTCGTTTATTGGTACTTTACGATACCGCTAAGCATGGCTTGATATGTCATTTCAATACATTTGAATATCTTACAATTATAGAAAAAAAAAAACTATCAACATTGTACAGTTTTATAGTTTTGGCGAACTTCAGTTTTTGATGAAAACTTTTATTTTGATCTCGGTCAAACGTCTAAACACCGAGTTCATTGCTATTAAGGTCTCCGCTGCAACTTGTTCGTATCTGTTATACTGATGGTTCGTTGGATTAGCCGACGAGTCGATTTTTGCTACTGTTCAATTAGGGTTACGTTTAATGTAGAAAATGCATGTCATTTTTGTTATACATTTTTTTTCTTTATCAGCGCTCATAATGTTAAGTTAAAATTATCATATTTATTCTTTTAATATTACGCGTATGTGTGGCTCTGCACACACACACACACACACACACACACACACACACACACACACACACACACACACACACACACACACACACACACACACACACACACACACACACACACACACACACACACACACACACACACACACACACACACACACACACACACACACACACACACACACACACACACACACACACACACACACACACACACACACACACACACACACACACACACACACACANAATTAAAGTAATGGCAGTGTCTAGTATTCAGAATCCGTAATGGGCAAGAATTTATTTACCATAAGAAAAACAGTATATTATGTTTATTGTCTGTACAAATAATATTTTTTAAAAACATACAAACTTTTGTTGTATATATCAAATTCATATGTGAATGTGCATATTGCCGACACTTATCAATTTTTCTCACAATAAATTTTTCTATATATATACGTTATAAATTTCTTACATTTTTAAAAAGCTAAGGAATAATATCATATTTGTTACCTACCTATTAATACCATTAAGGAAATTAAAGAATGTTATTATAAATTATTACTTTACCTATATGTTTATTTTATCTATAATATTAATACCGTTGAGTCATAGAAATCATTAGTCATTGCTGTAGTAAGAATGACTACTTTCTTAT